GACTTTTATCAAGACAATTAAACAGTAAAAAAAACAACCTTTAAATATGCAGTGATCAGATGTTCATTGGAAGGTGAAAACAAGGTGGATGTGTCTATATATATATATATATATATATATATATATACAATACAGCTATCCCTCAAAAAATTAGTAACACAATAAAATAAATAGCATGTACCAAATAGAAAAATGAATTAAAGAAATAGATAAACCACAGTAACCCACAGAGAGTAGGAGACAGTGGCACTCTAACCTGTACTGGTGCGGAGCAGCAAAGAAAGAGGAAGTGACATCAGTGGGAGGGAGTTTTATAACCTGTTACTTTTTTCTGATTGGTTATCCTGTTACTACATTAAAAAGTGCTGCTGTGGAGCTTAAGTAAAGAAAGACTTAAGCAAAATACAAAGCCTCCTGTCATGTTATAAAATTAGATACATTAATTGCAGAAGATACAAGATACATGAATCACTGTACATAGAACAATGAAGCCTCAGCCCAGTTCAAAGTAGGCACCAAGCTGCAAAATCCTTTGTTGGGCCTGCCATCAGCTGCCTCATTGTATTTACCTTAATCTCATTGACGGTCTCAAATCTCATCCCTTTTAAAGGTTATTTTAGTTTTGGAAAAAGACAGAAGTTGCAGGACACAAAATCTTTCAAAAGATTCTTGATCATCTTTGCAGTGTTAGCGCCACACTTTTATTTTCGCTGCACTCATTGCAACATCTCCGAAAGCCTTCTGATTCATCCAAATAGTTTTCACAGAGGAATGTTCACGCTGAACGAAAATTTGATGCGATGGCCACACAGTACACATGCTCACTCAGTGGTGTCTAGCACCCCCACTGATTAGTACAGTGAAGTTGTCATTGTTTAAACATTCCAGTCCACTCTCCTTGGCTGCCAGGTTACATCGATGTCGCGCAAACCGTTCTCGTTTTATTAACAATGGCTGGACTTTTTCTGGACAGACCTCGTACATGATGAAATACGCTTAAAGAACATATAGGATAATATATATGTAAAATGATTATAAAATATTTAGGGAAATGTCTATGATACGGTTTTCTTATCTGTAATTTTATTATTCAGTAAATTATTATTTAAAAGCTTTTCTTGTGCAACCAACATTTTCCTTTTTTGTTTCCAAAAACTCTTTCACACCACACTTTCATATATACAACTTCCAGGCTAAGCAACCATAGCCCACAATATATAGTATAAATGATTAGCATAATTGAAAATTACATTTGTTTATTGCTAATTAATTTAGTTTGCAAGTTATGCCATAACTGTCAGAGAGCTTTGTGAGTATAAAGTTATATATACTTTGTAGCTTGTGTCTAGCTTGAATAAATTCCTTTTTGTATATCTAGGTGGTACAAAAAGACTGAGAGGTCACTTTGTATCAGTTTTTTTTTAAATTTTTCTTTTAAAGTAGTATTATCCTTAGTAAATGTTATTTACTTAAATTTATTTAATTTATTTATAAGTTAATAATGAATTTTTCATAGTTCCAGTTTTTTCAAGTTAACATACAGTTTACAAATATGTGCAATAAATATTCTTGCTAAATATTCTTGAAAACATTAAAAGTTTTGTGGGTGTTTTTTACATTTTACACAGTGCCAAATACTCTAGGTACACCCCTGTGTATCGCATCCTGGCAGTCTGGTTGGTCCCAGATTTTCTAGTCTCCTGGGAATGCCCTGTTTGGGAGAGCATTAAGAATGTGTCCTACCAGGCCTAGCACAAACTCACTTGTAGCAGGGCTAGAATAAACTTCATTCTTCACTCCTGCAGCACTATACTAGGGTACATATGAACACTTCTTTCTAAATAAAATCAATGGAGAAATGGTATTGTGATCCAGCAGCCTACAACACCTGTTTTCAAAAGCCCCAATGAGGCAATTGCCTCCTCCCGTGCTTGCCAGCCCTCTGCTGCATATTATGCACCGAAATTCAAACCCTCCAGGTTAAAACTGACTTCCATTGCTTTTCAATATATTACAGATGCAGTGTATAAAATAAATTTAAATTAGTGCAATACTGTTACTACATAACAAAGCCTTGTTAGTGTATAGAAGGCTGATATGTTCACAAACATTTAGCTATAACATTCAGGGTTAATTGTCACAACATAAAGCACAGTTTCTATTACCTTACTTCTAACATTGGAACTCGAGAATGAAGTAGTGAAGGCCAGAGGTGAAAAATATAGACTACAGGTAAGCTGTAACAGTTGGATGATTTCTCTCCTCATTAATCTCAAAATATCCAAACTTTGAACACCCCAAGTTTTGATGTAGATGTAATATATTCCTAGTCTCATGTAGAAGTGTCTGCACTCGTTCTGTATGCGCTTAGTATCTGTAACCTCCAAAGATCAAAGCCAACTCAAATGTATGGAGAATGTTATTTCTATTTGAATTATACTATGTTATAAATACATAACTAATGAGACTCATGCTGTGGTAGCATATAAAAATATTACTGGAACAGACTTAAATGGCATACATCAGACTTTTTAAAAGACTTATAGATTTTTTTGGTCTGAACTTTGGGCCAATCATGTACTCTGCCGAATTCCCAATTTCCGAACGAAAATTGCCCAAATCACGAATGACCCAAGTACCGCATTAGGTGAGCTGGCTCGATTGATTTGGAACTTGGAATGCCATTTGCTGTGCAGTAGCCACAGCCACACCAACATTGAACCACTAATTTACAGTTTGTACGTTGCTTTTTTGTTTGTTTTGTTTGTTTCTTTTTTTGTTGTTGAAGGGACAGTATGGGCACATATTTTCCTTCATTTATGGGCTTCCCAAAACCATTTAGGGTGCACAAGTCTAGTTGTTGCAGTTAAAACTATATTAAAGAAGTAGTACTCTCACTTGAAAATGTATTATTTTAAATCCGTTTAAAACAGTAATGCAAATAAATATTGGTCATCATTTTTGCTGGTATTACAAAGTCTTAATGCATAGATCTCTTAATGCACTTGAGCAAGGCAGTTAAAATAAAAATTCTGCATTTATTTGGTTTTCAAAATTATTTTCTTAAGTCCCTAAAATCCCGCCACTTCTACACGTTCTGCAGCTGATTCACACCCTTAATGCAAAGCACTAACTTCCTTGCACTTGCTTGGCAGTTCAATTAAATGCTTCTCATAGAAAAGTACTGTGGTCACTGGACACAGTGGGCACATTTGGCAGCTATCAACATTTGAGATGTGTCCACTGCACTGACAAAGTAAATGTGGTCAACTGACGTTGCAGCTCATAGGAAAGCATTGAATTCAATACCTTCTTAATTTTTATTGCACGTGGGGGTTATGCGGTACAACTCTAATTAGGGACATAGGCATTATAGCGTTAGGAATATAGACTTGTATTCTTTCAGAATCATTTCAAATGATTCAATACTGAAAAATGTGAAACATTGTCTAAATGATTTATCTACAGAAATCACGATTAACATTTATGGAATGTTTGTAGATAAATCATTTGGAAAGTTATTCTAACAGTGTTATAAGTAATATAATAAGTAAGCTGATTAAATTGAGGCCTGTATCTGATCCTATACAGGAGCATGCAGTTAATAGAGCAGGAGATAAAAACTTATAAAGTAAGTTTTCTTACCCTTTTTCAGGAAGTGGTGCAAGGAGGCTGTATGAGTCATAGCCTGGGAAGGTGTGGCTAAAGCTGCATAAACAAAGTGATTTAACACGGAAATGACAGACAATTGGGAAGTGAAACTGCCGGGGTGTGAGCTATAAACTAAAATATCTTCATTAGGCTGAAGTTATTGTGGAAATAAATAATAATAATAATAACACAAACACTTTGTGAGAAGGGTTAATTTCACAATGGTGGGTTTATTGCCTTTTTGTTTTATTTAATGTTTCTTTTCCACTTTTCACTATAAAATAAGGAAGTTACCCTGATAGAGTCGTTTTTTTTAACTTGTATATTTAATTATATCATGATCATATACCTCCTTTGTGGTTGATTATGGTTAATACATAGTGGAACACATGCATTATTTCCTGAATGATAGAATGCACGTTGCCAACTACGTCCTCTCTGGACCACATGGTCGACAGGAGAACAAGATAGATGCAAATAGAATAAGGAAGGCGAAGACCACAATACAATGAGAAACGGATTGTATAACTGCAAATCTTTTTTTTTTTTCTTTTTGCATGTTTACTGAAATTTTATTTTTTTTCCAATCACAATTAGATATCTTTCCTGTACATCTCATCAAATTACTGTTCACATACACATTTTAGACTGTGTTCTGCCATTGTCAAAGTCTTGTGTTCTCACTGGCAGAAGACACATGATATATTTATACATAGCCTTCTGGACTTTAAAACATTTACAAGGTATTAGCAAGACCGCTGAAAACAAACGTCACTTTGCCTGCCATTCATTATGGAATGGCATGTACGGATGGTGAATTTATTTTCAGAAGTTGTGTTTTCATACTCAAAAATGGTGGCAGCGTTGGGGACCAGAACATAGGCAACACTGCATGGTTCAGTCACACATCTGCAGTCTTGAGGTGGAGCAAAACAAGAGCTAACATAAAGAATACCAAAGCGTTATAGAGGAGGGGGAACCGATATCCATCACTAAAGGGGTAAAGGCAGAGAATCAGGGGTCAAGTCCTGGGGAAAAAAGTGTGGGAACTCACCCAAGATTAAAAATTACACTCCTATGCATATAGTGCAGTGCAGGGTGTGTATAATGAATGTAGTGTGTTTGTAGTGAATGCAGAGTGTGTATAATGAATGCAGTGTGTTTTTAGTGAGTGCAGAGTGTGTACAATGAATGCAGTGTATGTAGTGTGTTTGTAGTGAATGCAGAGTGTGTATAGTGAATGTAGTGTGTAGTGAGTGCAGAATGTGCATAATAAATGCAGAGTGTGTATAGTGAATGCAGAGGGTGTATAGTGAATGTAGTGTGTTTGTAGTGAGTGAAGAGTGTGTATAATGAATGCAGTGTGTGCGTGTGCGCGCTGGATGACGTGTGTGTGAGTGCTGGATGATGTGTGTGCGAGTGCTGGATGATGTGTGTGCGAGTGCTGGATGATGTGTGTGTGTGTGTGTGCTGGATGATGTGTGTGTGTGTGTGTGCTGGATTATGTGTGTGTGTGTGTGCTGGATGATGTGTGTGTGAGTGCTGGATGATGTGTGTGTGAGTGCTGGATGATGGGTGTTTGTGTGAGTGCTGGATGATGGGTGTTTGTGTGAGTGCTGGATGATGGGTGTTTGTGTGAGTGCTGGATGATGGGTGTTTGTGTGAGTGCTGGATGATGGGTGTTTGTGTGAGTGCTGGATGATGGGTGTTTGTGTGAGTGCTGGATGATGGGTGTTTGTGTGAGTGCTGGATGATGGGTGTTTGTGTGAGTGCTGGATGATGGGTGTTTGTGTGAGTGCTGGATGATGTGTGTGTGTGCTGGATGATGGGTGTGTGAGTGCTGGATGATGGGTGTGTGTGTGTGTGTGTGTGCTGGATGATGTGTGTGTGAGTGCTGGATGATGGGTGTGTGAGTGCTGGATGATGGGTGTGTGAGTGCTGGATGATGTGTGTGGGGGGGGGAGCATTTTTTTCTTACTTTATGTGTTTATATTTTTTTTATTTTATTCCCCCCTCCCTGCTTCTTACCTTGTCAGGGAGGGGGGAG